CTGGAAATTTAATCCTGGATAGAGTCGACAGTTGGGTTCCAGATGAGATGAGATTAATTTATGATGTTCATGTCTTAAAGTAATGATGGATTTTCTTTTAGTTTGGTCGAAGAACTCTTGCTATAATATAGATCGCAGTTTGCTACATATCAACACTAATTTAACACGATACACTAAGAAAACAAGAAATTCTTCCTCTTAGCTTTGACAAGCTCACCTGCCACGCTGTCACTCCTGACGTCATCATTACTGATGACCGAACTCTATGTAGTCAGAAGACGTGAATTTTGTTCTTTATCAAAATTGTTGCTTAGGCTAATGCCCCCACGACCCGGCCTTGGATAAAGCGGATGAAGATGGATGGATGGATCAAAATTGTTCTCCCAATGACAATTTTTTTTTTATTTTTCCTACATGCAACAAAAAATATTTGCATTTTCACTCTGTCGCTGCTGGAAAACATATGCTTAGGGTTAGGGGTCACCACCAATCATCAAGTAGACCTCAGAAGGTTCAAATAACAACCTAATCTAAAGTATAAAACATGTTTGGGTTTGTTTGCCCAGGTGTCGAGTTTTTTCTGGCATTATTGAGAACTGCGTGAGAAGTTTCATAAATGAGTTTGTAAACAGAGGTATAAGCAGAGGATATTGCAAAACAAAAAAAAAGATATTGCATAAAAGAAGTGAGGAAGTGGAAAACTCCTGAGTTGACCATAGCTGTTGTGAAATTCTAGAGTTTGGCCTCTTTAGAGTTTCACATCTGTGCAGATGTTTTGAAGGCTCTGAAGTAGTGACGAAAACCGAACTTGGTAGGTGTGTCCATTCAGATCTGGCGTTTTAGCGAAAAGAGAAGCAGACAGTTGCTGGTATCAGTGCTGGCTTCATTCCTCCAACTGTAAACATGGTGCTGCTGATTCTGCTGCTGTTCACAGTCACAGTGAGTTGTACCTGACATCCTACACTTGAAAACAGAACATAAAGTTGGAACGTGTACTACTTTATGAATATCTATTGTATATTATATCAGTGTTACTGTGTGTGACTGCAGAGTGACGGCCAGGCTCAGCGGGTGCACGGCCTGAAGAAGGACGACTCGTGTGTGTGTGAGGTAAACTCCACCGTGTGGTCTTTCCCTGTTGTGAAGTATGAGACTGTGTTACAGCAGGTTCATACCTGTGAAGGATCTCTGAACAGCCTGGCGGAACAGGTAGGAATTCGTTTATTTTAGTGTCATCATTACTACTTGCATTTCACATTTTTGTTGTCGGTACATTTCATGAATGTCAGACTGGAAATGTCAATCTATTCCACCCTGACTAACAAAAATATAAATAAAATGACCCCATTGTGTTCAATGTCAAGAGTTTCCATATACATCAATGATGCATTCTTTATAATATATATTTTGTCTTTATTCTTTCCTCTATTATTTTAATAAATAATAAAGTGTAATAAAAAAATATGACACTGGAAGGCAGGACAGAGGAGGAGGCAAATGCATCAAAGAGTGGAAAGAGAGTGTGAAGGAGAAGGGGAGTATTTCTGGATATCATAGAATGTCTAAGTATATATATACATGTATGTGTGTGTAGAGGTGTCATTTTGCGGTATCTGTGGTGCATGGAGGATTGATTGACAAGGAATTGCAGGGAGTTAAGGGAATAATGTACATAAAAGTTGGAATTGAGTAGCGTGATATCTTCCACAGGCTTTGGAAGAAACCTGAGTGTTAGCGTTTTGGCCACAGGTATGTTAACTTTTTGGAACCACAAGTGACTCTGTTTGGATGACAGTTGTGAGTGTTAATAGCAAAGCTAGTAAGCTGTATTAGCAAGAACATGTATGAGTGTACTGCTGAGACTCATGTCTCAAAAAAAAAAAAATACAACCTCTGTCATAATAAAAAAGAAATAAATATCTGGTCCTCAACCAATTATTTTAAGACAAAAATCAAATGTCACATTACATCATTTTATTATTTATTTAACAAAAACAAAGTCAAAACGCAAAAACTAAGCACATGCCATGACTTTATCAGCCTCATTGCGGAGGAATTTTGTCCCACTCTGTCTACAACGTTACTTCAGTTCAGACATTTATTTCTGCACAGATCTCTTGAGGTCCCACCACAACATTTCAATCAGGCTGAAGACAGGACTTTGGTGGATTACAGGACATTGATTCTTTTCTCTTTCAGCAACTCGAAGCAGCAAACCAGGCACAGTTTGCTGCTGTGCTTGGGATCATTGTATGCCCCAGTTTGGGCCAAACTTTGGCTGCTGGACAAATGTCCTCACATCTGACTCTAGACTACTCTGCTATACAGAGGAGTTCATGGTTGACACCGCAATGCTGTGTTTGTTTTTCTCTAACTGTGGTGCTGTGGACTGTGGTCTGTCAAATGGAAAATGTTCCAGAAATCTTGTAGATTATTTGGATTTAACTTTGTAAATCTAAGCCACGCTGCCATGTTATTTTTAGAGAGAAGAGGCTTTCTCCTGGCATCCCTTTCAAACAAGTCGTGCTAGTTCAGTCTTTTTCTAATGGTCAGCCTCAAGTGGTCATTAGAGGAACTGCAGTTAGGCACTTAAGCACTGGCCTCAGTTTTAACCCTGAAATTTGCT